TGTCCACAGGGTCAAGTCTTCTATTATTGGGTACTATTTTAAGTTGCCTGGTTTCAAGCAGATAAAACATAAACAGAGATTATTAAAGACACAAGGCTAAGCTGTTTACAGAGGGCCCATGGGAAGAAAAAAAAAAAAAAACCAGACGACCACCTGACAGCAGGATGTTTCCGTTTGAACTTATGACTCTGAACTCAGGTCTCCCATCAACACACAGCAGAAAATTCACTATTTCCTAGTTATCAAATGGTTGCCAAGCATGCTGCAAGGACCTAGGGTTGACCTGACCCATACATGAGTTTAACAGCACCCTCCATCTTCAAAAGGTATCTGAAATACAGGCACTTTATAGGAATTACTTTCAGAACATCCTAACATGAACAGAACTCTAGAACAAATACAAAACCTTTTGCCAGGTGTTCTAATCAAAAAAGGCTCAAGTTTAGAGAAAAACTCTTCACCATTCTACCAGAAAACCAATTGCTTTCTACATTTTAGGAGATGATTATCTTTACACTTTACTACATTTAAATTAAACCAAGTCACAACTTAAGCTCAGAATACATAATAAAATTCCTTACGCTACAAAGTACTATTTCAATGAGTTAATGTAAAATACAATCTGCTTTGAGTATTGAACATAAAAATTACTAATCTGTTTAATAAGAACTTAAGATTTCCAAAACAGCCATTTACTCTATTCCTATTAGAAAAATACATACAAGAGGATATATATGCTATTTTATTGTACATAAGATCATTTAACAAGTGAACTAGTTATTAAGCCATTAACCTTTAATTCATGTAAAAATTCCTGAACAGCAGTGAGATTTCAGGAAAAGTATTATCCCAGGGCTTTCATAAATCTAAATATGCTAACTGTGAACACCTTCTGGGTAATGGGCATGAGATGTAATTAGTGTCCCTAAAATAAGTAACCAAGCAGTAAGTACTGCGTAGATTTCTTTCCTCAGGTTTCTTCTTCCTGTACATCAAGGCATAACAAGTGTCTACAAAGTTTTTTCCTAAGCTCCTCTATGTTATACAGTATGTGGCTTTACTATTCATGTATTGGCACTTCAGTCTTTTACTAAACTAACTGAAATACCAATCTTTAAAGTCTAATTATCAAGTGAAACCAAAGGGCTTCAACCATTTTCCCACTCTCAAGAGAGGGCACTCACCAAATGCATGACCCCCTTCTCCTCATCTACCTCAAAGTTCTCTCTGCAGGAGGGCAGGGTAGAGGTGGATAGAGACCTCACCATCTCACAGGAAATTCATTTCTTTTTCCATTGTCACAGGCCTTCCTCATACTGAAATGAGACTACCTGGGACTGCAGCCTCGGTCTCCTTTGTGGCTACGTCCTTTCACATTACAGCCTTTGAATACTGTGTTTTCCAGAAGTGAATAAAACTCCCTTGATGCTATCTGATATGGGTGTAACAGGACTTTTAAAATCTTTTTATTCTGGAGACTCTTCTATAAACATGGTCTAAGACTGGTCTAAGCAGCTACTTTTTCAAACTGCTTGTCACCCTTAAAAGCCTAGTGTCACAACATCCATTACTTTACTGTCATAGCTCAGAATTTAACCACACTTTTACCTACTTCTCATGTTAAAGTAGGGAGAAAATGGAAATGTTATATATACACATTTTAAAAAAAAAAAATCAAGCTGAATAATACCTGCAAATACATTTCTTCTTAGGAAGGCTAACATCTACATTCATAAATGCCCAAACTTGGAAGTACAAAAGTAGATACTCATTATAATCAACTCCCACTTGGAAACTGAGAAAAACATAGTATTGGAATTTCTGAGTGACTAATTGTACAATGGTACAGTTCAATAGAACTTATTCTACATAACACACTCTGAAATCTTTCAGTGGGAGTTTCCACAAGTGACTCTGCTACAATGCAGATACTGTGAGAACCCGCATAGGACCTGTATTTTAATTTAAAAATTTTTTAAGCTCAATCTAAAGGAATCAAACTAGGGTCAAAAAAAAAGTAATGAAGAGGGGAGGAGTTAACACTCTCCAAAGAGACTAAGAATGCTCTCCAGGCTATGAGAACCACAGAGAAGAAACAGAATAGCTCTGGGAGTCCAAGAAAAGGCTGGAAAAACTATAGTTCTTAACTTCCATATCCACTGTTAAAGTTGCCTAAGACAGCATTTTCCTCAATTCCAAGATGTAAAAATGATTTGGGGGAAGAAAGGAAAATACATCGTATTAAAGGGGTAAAGATACACACATTTCAGAATCTAAAAACGTGAAAGATGCGCAACTTAGAATTGAGGAGCTTCAATAATTCCCCCTTCTTGCAACACAAGCACAAAATGCCTCAGGTTAGAACTGTGGTTTCTCCAGGGCCTGCTACAGGTGTGCAAGCTTAGTCACATTTTTCATTTCATAAGCCTAGAGTTAACTTTTTAAATTCGTTTCCCCCAAATACTCATCCTATTTTAAAATCCTATTTTCCTAAACTGAAAGCAAGAAAACTGGCATAAAACCTGGAAGTCTTTGTGTTTGTTACACATTTACAAGCTACAGATAACGTTTTTGAACAAATAAGTGAGAAGGTTTTTTTTTTTTTGCTTACTTTATTTAGGTCAAGGATCTCAACAGAACTTCACCATTGTTACAACCTTGTCTCCTGCCATGGGGCCTCTTTCTCCAAGACGCAATTCACCCTACTTTCTAGGGGATTTTTTGTTTTTGTTTTTTTGCCCCTTGCCGTCATGCAAACATTTAAGGAAGGTTATTTACTATTTTAACTAAACTGCAGTCCGTTTATGTGAACTAGAGTAAAAAATGTGTGCTCCACATCCAAAGGCCAGGAGTCCCGGTTATCAGAGGACATAAAAAAATAAGCCACATGGTAAAAGAAATACATTTAACTAATATTTGCAGCCATGTTAACCAAGATACTTGGCAACTACAGCCAAAACAAAGGAGAGGAGCTCGAGTCTTCATTTCAAAGGTTTATGGAATGAGCAAATATTATGCCTCCAGGTTGCCTCTTTCAGTATCACCTGCTACTTCCCCAACACAAGGAAAGTAAACAAAAGAAATTTCAGTAACAAATTTCACAGGTTCCACATTTCCTAAAAAAGAGGTTAAATGGAGGGCTTAAACAACTTCCACATAACTAAAAATCTTCTCTTTTAATAATGTTTCCTTTTCACTGCTCCTATCCTTTTTGAGTTGTATATCCTGGTAAGGGAGGAGGAGGACCAAGAGGGATACTCAGGGGGTGAACAATACAAACTTAACTTCTCCCAAATCCATGAAGAACAAGCTGGGGGCACAATGGAAAGCCGGGCCAGGCTGTCTGGACCTGATAAAGAGGCACTGGCGTCCTTTCCCAGTTAACTGTGCAAAGCACACTTCCAAACAATCTCCCGACACTCCGTGATTGTTAGTTTATCAACTGAGCTTAAGTTCAACCAAACTTGGTAATACTCCTTGCAACTGACCCGGAGCCTGATTCAAACGTAAAAATCCGTCCACTCCGCTAGCGCTGTGTGTGGGAAGCTGCGCTTCCAAACTTCAGACGTGGTACACTGATTTTTATTACACCTGGTGGAGAAAAAAAAAATACACCACACTACGTTACCGAATTCCAAATTCACGGGAGAATGGGGATTTCGGCGACGACTTGAGGAGTACCTGACCCAGAACAGAGGACGAAGAGAGCTGCCTCCGGGCCGCGGGCCCCTGTCCTTGGCCACGCCGTCACCTGAAGGGAGTGGGCTGCTGCTTCCTTTAGCATCCCTCCAAACCTGTAATCCCCTACCTCAACATCAATCAAAAGCAGGGGGGAGAAAGCGTCTTCTGGAGGCGCAAGAAAGGCCACAACTTGGATGAATGAAACTGGGCTAAGGACACCCGGAGCGGGATTTTCGCTAAAGTCAGAAAAAGAAAAGTCAAAGATTTTTTAACATGAGAGCGATTGCAAGCGACCGGGATACAGATAACGGCACAAACACGCTTTGGAGGAACGCTTTACTGGGCGCGGACGTTCCAGGCGGCAGGCGGGCGGCGGAGCGGGACGGAGCAGGCGGCAGCGACGGGGCCGGCGACGAGGCAGCTTCACGACGGGCGGGGACTGGCCGGAGCCGGGCTGAACGCTCGCGCGTGTCCTCCCGCGGACCTTCCACTGGACTCCCGCGGGCAGGCGCGGGGATCAGGGTCGGGGTCGGGGCCAGCTCGGGCCGCCCCGCCCCTCGCCCGGCCGGCGGCTAGCAAGGCACACCCTCCCAGGCCGCGCACAAGCGCAGGCACACCCCCGCCTCCCGCGCGCACGCGGCCGGGCCCGACCGGCCCACGCGCGCCCCCACCCCGCGGACGCCTGCCGCCCGCTGCCCGCCCGCCGCCCCGGCCTCCTCCGGGCACCGCAGGGAGGCCCGGGGTCCCGCGGCCAGGGCGCGCGGGGGGACGGCGGCCTAGCGACGGCGGGGGTGCCCGCGCGGGAAGACCGGCTCTGAGGGAAGGTCACTTACCCGCTGCATGGCTTTCAGGATTAAAGCCAGCTCGTAGCGAGGCATGCCTGGAAGCTCGACGCGTGCCGCTCAGAAGAGAGCCGGTTCCCGGGTCGCGAAGGGGCGGGACAGCGGGGACGGCGGGTACCTAGAAGCTACTGGGCCGGAAGGCTCCCGGGCGGCGAAAGCACGCTCCGGCCGCGCGAGCCCGGGCTTAAAGGCGCTGGCAGTTGCGCAGACGCCGCGCCACGCCCCCTCGGCGCGCCCCGCCCCGCCCGCGCTCCCTGCCGCCGCCCCGCCCCCCCCTCCCGTGGGCTGCCGCCGCGCCCCCTCCGCAGCCCCGCCCCCGCCGCACCGCCCCCGCCGGGACCCCAGCCCAGCCGGCCGGCAGGGGCTAGGGACAGCGTTGAGGACTCGGCTCCGAACGGCTCGCGGCGGCCGCACGCCCCCTCGCGACCCTGCCTCTCCCCACCCCGCCTCCCGCCGCCCGCCGTGCCTGCTACCTACAGCTGTAGAACCGGCTGGAACTTTCCATGCCTTCCGTCTCCTACCGGGCGGCGGGCTAGTGAGTGCCCGCCAGTGCGCGTGCGCTGCGGTGCGGTCTCGTCCGTGCGCGCGCCCCTCGCCCGCGACTCTCGGGCGCTAGGGACCTTCCCGACAGAAGGCGGGGTCGCGGCCGGCCTGGGGGCTCTGCGGCCCACGGCTGCTCGCGGGGGTTCTGGAACGTTCCCGCCCTTGGTAGGCTGAGGGGTGTCGCTGGCGTCCCCAACCACAGCCCTCAGGCCTGGCGCGGCTGACTCGGCCCCCTACCCGGTGAGGGGCGCGCTGGCACAGGCCTTGCTCCGCCAGGCGCGGGCTCGGGTCTGGTTCCATCCCTCTGCGCCGCGTGACCTTGGGCCGGCTGCCTGTGCGGAAAGTGGGGACCCGATGCTTTGAGTGAGTGGATGCACGTAAACGTCCGAGGATGGTGCCTGGTACACACAGGCGCGACACGGGCATTTGTGGTGTGCGCCTGACCTGCCCCACGTGTTGTAACCGAGGGCAGGCGAACACCTTAACACTCTCCCATTTCTTTAAACGTTTGCTCAGCTGCTAGGCTGAATGGGAGACCCTTTAGCAACAGTCTGCGGTGGGCGGTGGTGCGCGTTCTGCACTCCCCCCACCGCTTTACACACACAGGGTTCTCCGCCCTCCAGCCACCGGCTCGGCAAATAGCAGTTTTCTCTGGCGCCTCTTCTTAGAGGTCCCCTGCAGCTGAGGCCCCTGCCCCTTGCTTGTCCCGTTAAAAGCTCTGTAAGTGAAATGTTTGTCAACTAAAAGTGCTTTAATGTTACTAGGTAAAGTTTAGTGAACACTTACTATGCTTCAGGCCCCCTGCCAAGGTTGATTGATGAAGGTGTCTCCTAAAATTCTCTCGACAGCCCTGAGGTGACAACGATTCTTTGCTTGGCCAAACTTTAGTCAGGCTCCTGAATCTCCTAGGGCCATCTGTGCACTTCCTTGTAAAATCTAATTCTAGCACGGAACCCCCAGCCCCTGGTAGCAGATGAGGTTCCTCATGTCTTTTCACCCTGGCCTGTCTTCTACAAGAGTCCTTTAGATCGGTTTAGCCAGAATTCCTCTTCCCCCTGATGGTTCCGCTTAGTGATTTGACATGGCCATAAATTCCCACTTGCCCACGCTGCATTCGGAGTTGAGCCCACTCTCTCCCCACTGCAAGACCAGGTTGCCCTGATCCGTGTAGCCATCGCGTTGGTCCTGAATAAAGTCTTCCTTACCATGCTTTAGAAAGTATAATTGAGTTTTTTTTTTGTTTTGTTTTGTTTTTTTGTTTTGTTTTGTTTTGTTTTGTTTTTTGTTTTTTTTTTTTGTAGCAGAGGCCAAGCACTACTAACCCCATTTTAGCGTTTCAGAAATATGGGAACAAAAAGTTTTGTAACTAGTCCAAGGTCATACGGTAATAGAAACGAAGTACTTTTACCCACCACTCTACCCTTCTGGCCTCTGGTTCTCCTGCCACACAGATCAACATGCTGCTGTTATTCAGTGGATTAACCATGTAGTCCATGTAAACGAAGAACAGAGTCCCGCTGTCACCTTACCCAGAGATGTTACCATTTCACATCTGTCTCCCATGTGTCTTTTGTGGCATATGGCAGGAAGATGAACCCAAGTTTTTCTGAGATAGCTGGATTTCCACATTTTTTATTCTTAGATTTGTCTGCAACCCATCATGTTCTTTGAAAGGGAAGCCACACAAGTAATCCAAAATGCCTGGTTAAGTGTCAAGTAACTTCATGTTTGGTTTAAACAAGTTGCATGCTATAAATAAATAACAGAAGGAAACAGGAATTTCTGGACCTTCAGAAGTGAGTTACAGGCCAGATGCAGTGGCCCACACCTGTAATCCCAGCATTTAGGGAGGCTGAGGCAGGTGAATTACTTGAGGTCAGGAGTTTGAGACCAGCCTGGGCAACATCGTGAAACCCCATCTCTACTAAAAATACAAAAATCAGCTGGGTGCGGTGGCACATACCTGTAATCCCAGCTACTTGGGAGGCTGAGGCAGAAGAATCGCTTGAACCCAGGAGGCATAGGTTGCACTGCACTCTAGCCTGGGTGACAGAGCAAGACTCCATCTAAAAAAAAAAAAAGTCAGTTACAGATTCTAGAAAGGTCTCACCTCGACTGTCTCCTCATGTTGTCAATTACATGATCCAGCTTAGGAATGAGTAAATATAGACCCCATAGTAATAAGCCAAGTCAAAGATGGAGGCAGCGCAATGAGCTCACTTTAACTCCAAGCATTTCCTCTTGGAAGCTCTCTAGTTTTCCCCTAATGCGCAGGGATGAGTGAAGACCTGGCATCTTCTCTACTCCTCTTTTTAACTTGACAAGTGGTATAAGGAAATTAGCCTGATTGCATAATGCCTCACCACAGAGTCAGCACCCCCAAGCCCTCCCAATCTGGTAGCCACCCACAGACTCATTCCATTTCTTAGAGGAAGGCAGAGGGCAGCTACCATGATTTTCCCCTTTAACTTTTTTTTAAAAAGCACAGAAGCGGCTGAATGCGGTGGCTCCTACCTGTGATCCCAGTAATTTGGGAGGCCAAGGCAGGTGGATCACCTGAGGTTGGGAGTTTGAGACCAGCCTGACAAACATGGAGAAACTCCATCTCTACTAAAAATACAAAATTAGCCAGGAGTGGTGGGACATGACTGTAATCCCAGCTACTTGGGAGGCTGAGGCAGCAAAATCCCTTGAACCTGGGAGGCAGAAGTTGCAGTGAGCCAAGATCACATCATGACACTCCAGCCTGGGCAACAAGAGCAAAACTCCATCTCAAAAAAATAGATAAATAAAAAATAAAAAGCACCAAAGAGAATGCTTGGGCTTCATCTAAAAAAAAAAAAAAAAATTTTTTTAAATCAAGAGGAATGCTGTTGCAGATTTATTGCCTTCCTACTATAACTACAAACTTAAATTCACCAAAACAGTTTTTAACTTGACACTATGTATAGTCAGCATAGTAGAAGTATAACAATACTGTAGCATTTGATCTATTAATTTTAAAATTACTCTACCTCTTAGGTTCTCCAAAACATTATGGTCTGTGTTTCAGATTTGATTAACCACAAGTTTGATTAATTTTCAATTCAGATTTTTTGAGGGGGAACAGGAAAGAAGAATAAGAACAGAAGTTGAAACCCAGCCCTGTTTTTAAAAAGGGAACCTCAAGATACACCCTGGCTCAGTTTAATTACCTTTACCTTCTTATTTTATATTGCTGCCTAATGAGACTTGACCTTGAGCTTTAAATCGTTAATCCTCAAAGATGGTCATTACTTTTATTACCAAGTCTAACATTTTGAGCATTCACTATGAGCCAGAACCAATTTTAAATGATTTTCATGTGTTAACTCTCAGTTCTCACCACAAAGCTACGTATTTTAACTGCCCCCATTTTACGTATAGGGAAAAGGAGACGTCATAAGGTCTTCAGCAACTTGCCCCAAGTCACGCAGAACTAAGAGCCTGCATGCTTACCCTAATACCACACAGCATAGTGTTTCTGAGCCAATACAAACTGAGCAACTATCTGTCAATCAGCCAAATTTTATTGTAGTCCTACTCTGCCCTCTCCCCTGGGTGACTGCAGTCTCCCACTCCCTGTACTCATATAACACCCTCCCTTGAGTCCGCAGATTCTCCCCTTTCACAGACTTCTTCCTTCTGCCCTGAAGCATATATAGGTCTCTTCTAGAAAGGGGGGAAAAAAGCCTTTCCATAACCATGTTACCCTCTCCAGTTGTCATTCTTTTTTTCTTCTCACAGCCACATTTCCCCAGACCCACTGCATCTCCCAGCCTTTGCGGTCTGTGTTCCCTCACACTGTCACCATGGGTCTTCCATTTGTCCACCAAGTAGCAGTTTCCCTGGCATCATTGTTAGGGACCTCTCTGCAGTCCTGAGGGTCTCTTTTTAGCCATCCATGATCCTGTACTCTTGGGGTTTTCCTTTGCCTCCTTGGTCCCCGTATCTGGCTACTTTTTCCCCTCCTTTCCCTAAATGTGGCTGTTCCGCAAAGCAAGGAGGTGTCTCAGCAACAAGGATTTAAGGCAAGACTTGCCCATAACATGAGTTCCCATGATCCAAGTGCATTGGAGTTTGGCCCTGAACAGCTTTAAACTGATCTTTCCTGCCAAAATCCTGGTATGCTGTAACAGTACAGGTGGGCAATGGAAAGTGTATAAATGAATGATCTCCTTGTCTGTAGATAAAGAATCTGATAAGAAAACAAGATGCATTATTTATCCCAAGCCATAGAGCCCTGGGGTGGCACAATTCAAAGAAAAACCTTTTGCTTACCGTATTCTCCTTCCTACCCAGGCACTTCGTACTATGATGACAGTTTTACTGTTGCTAATGGATTAATCCACTGTGAGTGTGATACTCCTGTATTCTAAAAGGTGAGTTCTTTTTCTTTTCTTTTCTTTCTTTCTTTCTTTTTTTTT